ACCTGCCTTTTCGTTGCTACTAATAATAGTGTTCTGCACAGAAAACTAAACTGGGCTTATGTTTACTTCCTGTGTGCTGCTCTGCTGCTGTCGTACAATGTGTTTATCTACGGACAGGTGGCGCCGAAACCGATGCGCTTCTGGTTTCACGAAACGAAAGCCTGGCTAGAATTCTGAGGCAGATTGTGTAAGGTAATATCAGATAAACATTATTGATCCACGACGGGGAAAAATTTGGGGGTCTACATGATGATGGGAGCCGTCACAAGGGAGTTAACTGAGAGAGTATTATGATTAATTACTTCCATATCAAACATCCATAGGATCGCGTGCGTGGACAGTTCTGTCCTACCTCAATGGCTTCCTGCGGCGGAACAACGTGTTTTTATTGACCCGCTCTCCGTTGCATTATAGATGGCTCACACCTGCTCAGGTTCACTGTAATTCCAGGAGGAATGTCGCTGGGGGCTGACGTGATCACGTGGGTTTGAGAACAAGCTGTTGCTCTATTGCGTAACAGTCGCCTTCATAGGCGGGTTAACTCTATAAGAACGTACCGGACACATAACAAGTCCGATTAGCAGCAGTAACCGAGGCATTGCAGCCGTTACTGCATAATAGTCTTTACAATTTGGAAGAAGAACAAAAACAAAACAAAAAAACAACTGAATATTGTTTTCAAGGAAACATTTGCTTTAACGATGATAAGGAAGTTATTATCAAAATTGTATTCTTTAAAAATAACAATGATAATGCTAATAATGATAATAACAATAATAATGATGATAAAAGAAAAAACAATAGTGATAATAATGGCTCGTCCGTCAATGTGTGACGGTGACAAGTACATACAATTCTACCAGAGAAAAGTTTGCCACATTTTGAGCAATCAAAAGCTCCACGTCCATTTGATTATGTTTGCATGCGCAGCTTGCGGGGTTCTCTCTTGGTTTCAGCATTTCTCTTTCGTGAAACCTCACATGACTTGATAAGTCAGCAGGCCATGCCCTGTGGAACGAGACGCACCCACAGCACTGGAGAAAGGACCCAATCTACCAGCTCCCAAGAGCCGACCAAGTGATAATCTCCAGCCCCAGAACAGAACTCAACAGGCTGAAGCATTACATGTTCTCTCGATTCAAGATCAGTGGTGGACCCAACTGCCCTTGTGGTGCCAGCCGCCAAGATGCACGGTGTATTTTCCAGGACTGCCTACTACTGGATACGGCAAGACAAAAATGCTGGCCTCAACCGAGGGACATGCACCAGAAGTTGCATGGCAGCCCTCTCGACCTGGGAATCACTGCGGAGTTCATCAACACTTCAGGCCTCCCCATCTAATCTACCTTGAAGAACGAAGTATGTGACTTGCTGACCACTTGCTGCACACTTCATTATGTGCATTTTTTTTTGCACCGAAGATTAAGATTTGAGTAAACAGAACTGAGTAATGTATGCATCGTTTTTAGATTAAAGTAAATGGAATTGAAAGATCTGTCGTTTGCATCTTCTTTTTTGTGTGCCCCTATACAACGCGTCCTTGAGTTTTGTCGAATAACCAGAATGCGGGTCCAAAATGAGAACCAACTCTTTGTTTGCTTCTTGTCGCCGACTTGTCCCACACGCGACGTGCATCACTAGAAATATAGGGTTAAAATAAGAAACGCTGTATGTCTAGGGGTTATTATCTTTCTGTTCAATTCAAAAGGTGAAACAGCTGCCCTGCGAGTGGTTGGAGGGCACCACTGGAATAGTTGTACGGTACCTGTCGGCTGGTGCATCCTCTGTCCGCATGTTGTTCAGCTATGCTGTGGGTGATGTTTATTTACTTGGTGGTCTTTACTTTTTCAGTTTTCTATAATAAGGCAGGCGTGGGATTGTGGGCACTGTGTTATCAGTGTATGATTCTTGGTTTGGGAATGGTGGGAGTAGTTGGAAGCATGAAGAAATACAGAGCTCAAAGATCTGCTTCAATCCAAAAAAAACCCAAACTTTTCAGATCGAACAAAAGCGTTTTAGCAGCACTCATGTCGCTGGTCATCGATCTGATTATACCAATCTTAAGCTCGGCTGTCATCGTCTCTGTTGGTGACCTCCCCCCCCCCCATTCTGCATCGACCTCTTCAGCACCCTGCGAAGAACAGTCAACAATAATAGCTTTGGCAGGCACTGACATGCATGTCGCATAGTCTTCGATAATGTTCGCATGGTGGCTGGGGTTACGTGTTATGGATTTATTATCCCTGGGCGAATGCTCCCGTCGTAGGTTTCTATATCGAGTGACTGTTTCCTCTTGTGTTGAGTGAAAATAGATCACAATCAACGGTTCAGTTTCCCTGCAAATCGACATGGTTTCTTGAGCTGAGGGTCGAAGTGTTTTAACTGCAGGGAATTAATCTTGTGAAGCGTTAAGCGTGTAGATGGAATATTTTGTCTCTGTCCTGTAATTTCTGGACCTACCGAAGCTATGCTAATTGTACATGTATCGTGGGCGTACTGTTATGTCCTGTGGATGCCCTGGTGTTGCCATCAATGCATGTGGTCTAACGGTTATACATGTATGTTATTTAGTCGAGTTCTGTAGAAATTCTCCAAGGCTGTCACCTATTGTCGAGGAGAAGAGCGGTTGTCTTAAAACATATATATGGGTGTCTGGGACTTTGTAATTATAATATAAAATGTAAGAGGGAAGTGGGGGTCATCATTTTGTGATTGTTGCGGAAATGTGGTCTTTAGAGCAGGTTCGGTCGTAACGCATGTGGCCTGCTGGGGTGTTGTATAGCGCTCTGCAGTTTAAGTTGGTCGTAATAGGCAGGGCTGAATGAAGCACCCGCCAACATAGTAATCTAAATCGTGTTGATGGGCGGTGTCAAAATATACAACTGGTCCATCTGGTGTTGCCTGTTCGTTTAACTTTATAAATGGGTTTCTGGTTGAAATATGGTCGTTTCTGCAGTAGACTAGGTATCCTCCGTATATCGCATCTTAACCATAATGGGCAGTGCAGGAGTGCGTAGGCGCTTGATCGTGTCACTTTTTGTCGCCGATGCGCGTCACACATCATAATTCTAAGAGCGCAATAACGCTAGTTTATTGCCTACAAAATGGTACATTATTATGATGTCATTCTCAGAGTGCATTAACGCTGATCCATTTCACATAATAGAGTACATTGTAGTGTAGGTTCTTACCCCACTTTCAAGGCAAAGACTGTTAAGAAGACAAGGCCTCTGTTTTATTGTTCGTTTCCGATAGTAAAGAATCGAAAGGCGGAGAAACATGCGCTTAGTTTCGTAATCCCCCTCTCTCTCTCTCCGCTGTGAAGGAAAAAATTAATACAACTGACTCGGCGCCGGCGGCCGATCGATCTCTAGCTGTCCTCTAGTCTTCTCACTGTTCACGGCTGTTGTTGTTGCCCTCATTTGTCCTCGGCGACATTCAACGTCCTGACGTAAGCAGACTGTGGTCTCGTGCCCAACGGTGTCGGGAAGGGGGAGGTGGGGGGAGAGAGAAGGGGCCAGGGGTCACGATCTTGACCCGGACGTCATAGTCCAAGTGGAGGCGCCGTGACCGACTTTGATTTATCGGGTGGTGGCTGTAATCAAGCTCCTGCCCCAGCACATTTTTTGTCCTATTCGTTTCCGGTGTCAAGAAAGACAATGCTTTTCTTTCTTTCTTCTTTCGTCTGAAGCTTCCATCTCGAAACTGTGTTGGTTTTTGTTTTGATATATGCTGTTTGCTGTTTTATCTTATTCTGTTTGTTCATTAAACTTCTATCACGTATAACCTCTCTTAATTCAGTTTATTTATTTATAATTTCTTTTGTGGCGGGTCGAAAAATGGTTGTTTCCTTGCTGGTGCGCCGTATAAATGATTCGTGGGTGGTTGGCGAGTGCTCTAGTGTGGTTTGCTCCTTCTTTCTTATCAAACATATATCGTCCTTATCTCCCCTCCTTTTTTATGTTTGTTACTCCCTTGTAACACCTCTGATCTTCTGGCGCTCATATGACCTTATGCAGTTGCGAGCGCCGTAAAAGCTCTACTAAAACTAAAACAAACTCTCTTGTAACACCTCTAATCTTCTGGCGCTCGAATGATCTTATGCAGTTGCGAGCGCCGTAAAATCTCTACTAAAACTACTTTAAAAAACCACCTATCGTATTTATCTCCCCTCCTTTTTTCTGTTTGTTACTCCCTCCCTTGTAACACCTCTAATCTTCGGCACTTATATGACATTATTGTGTCGCAAATCCCGTAAAACTCCAACTAAAACTTTTTTTTTAAAAAGACTCTTCGACACCTAAACGCTCGGTATACAGTCGTAGTTCCTGTCCAAGACAGCCACCTATTGTCGAAAAGAAAAGTAGTTGCCTTAGATAGGTGGGCGTCTTCGACAGCCTTATTAAACGCAAGATGGGAAGTGGGAAGTAAAACCTAGTCGTTTGCACAGGCGATTGTCCAGGACAGGTAGCCGTTAGAGTAGAGCGGGTTCGATAGTACTTGTTGATGAAGGAGGTTGCCTCCGAGCCTGCACGATGATCACCACAGCTCGCTATGGACTATATTATGTTATGGTTTTTACGACGTGTAGTTATATTCTAATCTCCGACAATGACGCTGTTGGTGGTAGAAGAGCAGTTATATTCTAATCTCCGACAATGACGTTGTTGGTGGTAGAAGAGCAGTTATATTCTAATCTCCGACAATGACGCTGTTGGTGGTAGAAGAGCGCCCATTTCGTAGGTTTTTACACGCCTTCTTCCCCTCTATTGTTTGTCTTGTTTTTCTTCAGCACTAATATTCAGTTCCTGTTTCGATGTGTGCTTCCCTTTACCTGAATAATCAAAGCGAATCCAATAATGCTCATCTATTATATTCAGTTGCAATGTCGATATGCTTCTTTGTACTTGAACAATCAAAACAAATGCAATACTTCTTATTCAAATGTATTAATAATACATGTACTAATGTTTTGTTTTTTGTTTTTTTCTATTTCGCAGCTGAAGAGCGTCGGTCCTAAACTGGTCCCGTTCTTCAAGACAGTTGCCATCTTCTTCGTGCTTTTCGGCCAGGAGGAACGCTCCTCTATCTTCTTCTGCATCGTGAAATGCCTGCCAGTCGTCTCCCTTATCGCGTTTGTCCTGCTGCACGGCATGAGCCTAGACGAGTGTTATCGCTACTCGCGCCGGATCCTGGTGGGCCTCGTCTTTTCCGCCATCGGTGACGCGTTCCTGGTCTGGAAACACTCCTTCATGAATTTCGAGATGGGCCTCCTCAGCTTTGCCATCGCCCAGACCATGTACGCGCGGGCGTTCGGCTGGCGTCCCCTCAAGCCCTACGCCGGTACCGTCTTCCTCTTCGTGGGCCTGTCCGTCTACTCCTACCTGCAGATGTACCTGACAGGGATCATGAGCTACCTGGCGCCGTTTTACCTGACCCTTATCTGCACGATGGCGTGGCGGGCAGTGGCTCGTGTCCAGTTCTACGATGACCTCTGGACGTGGACCAAGCTCTGTGGCTGCATCGGCGCCGTCTGCTTCATGGTGTCCGACCTGGTGATCGCCATCAACATGTTTGCCTTCTCCGTGCCCTTCTCCCACCAGATCATCATGCTCACCTACTACGCCGCCCAGTTCGGCATCTCGCTGTCAGTTGTGGACAGTCAGGCTGATGAGCTGATCCGCGTCCAGAGCAACGAGCCCTTCCGGAGTAAGCAGAAGGCTGGATAAGGACTTAGTTGTAGCCGCGGTTACACTATTGCACTTGATGGTGAGGGTCAAGCAAAGACTGTGTGACTTGTCAGATGGAATTCTCTCTCTGCTGTTTTGTGTCATCTCTTGACTGGGAATAAGTATTGATAGAATAATAATGATAGTCTGTTTCGAAAATGATACCACCCATGCTACAATCAATCCGCATGACTGACTAAACAGCTTAAATTGATTTTTTTTTTAACGTTAGCCATGTTCTAATCTCACTTGCATAAATTTAAATAATTTCGTACGTGGTCCTACGTCGTCAGTTTCTGATGCAGCAGTTACCATGGAGGAAATTTGAGTAATCTTATCAGCTTTTTAATACATTGGGTTTTTTTTATATAAGCCTAATTTTGGCTAAATTATTTGTTCAAAGTTTTCATGAAAGAAATTTTGTGTAGCCTAAAAGTTAATCATTTTTTAAGGCGACAGATACTGCGTTTGACACTGATGACAATATAAAAATGATAGTGAGAACACACCGGCTGATTATTAGGGTTTTTTATAAACTACGTTTTTGTTTTTGGGGGGAGCCAAGTACCCTGTTGAGATGTTTGGTTGCACAAAATAGCAGGGTTGCTCAGTCTTACCCCTCATGGTCTTTGATAAAAGGCGATCACAGTGATACACGCGGCAGGTTGATGCTACACTCAGCAAAGGAAAAGTCATGATTTGGATCTGGATCCAATTCCTATCTTGTTTCGTGTTGAGAATTGTGTGAAGATGTGTTATCCGAAGTTCTAGCTGCTCACAAGAGACGTTTGTCACTGGACTGGTTAGTTTCGACTGTCAGACTTTTCTGGTATTAATCAGACTGTACTGTAAAGATACTCAGATAACCTTCTAAAGGTGTGTGGTCATCACACATCTTTTTTTTCATACAGGTAGTTTCTGTAACATGAAATGTGTGCTATTGTTTGTGCTCTGTGTACAATTTGTATACTTAGCAAAAAAGTATCTCCTTGCAGAATGTTTATTTTGTGTAAAAGTGTTCCAGAACAAACGAAATCAAAAGTTGAAAGCATTATTCTGTGTTGGTAAACATTTGTCTTGCCAAGATTGGTTTTCTTTTGTGTGTGTGTGTGTTGTTGTTTTTTTAATGAATATATATCTTTGGTTGATGCATTAGCTTTAGAATTGGTGCTTTTATTATAGGTGTTGTGGTTGGATTTACTTTGGTACTGAGCACACAGCCGTATTTGCTTCATGGAGTTTTGTGTTCACAGAATAATACCGTGCTCGAGGCCACTTTAAAATGTATCTTGAATTATGTCTTTACTTTACCTGCTGCATTTATTTTTTCAAAACCAGCATTCACATGTACAGTGCAACTAATACGTAATGGGATGCTAACAGTCAGAACTTAGGAGAGTAAACTGGTTTTTATCAATGTAAATGTCATATGAGAATGCAACAGTCTGTGATTCGTGACTGCAAAAAAAAAATATATCTTTGAATCTTGAGTTACGCGGATAGCTGCATTTATGCAGATTGAAAAGATTTTGCGAAGGGTGTAGAAACATACAAAAAAAGGTTATCCCCAGTTAACATATTAATGATGATTAATTACTTGTGTACAATTTTGTGTAGCACTGTTCTATCTTTGGGTTCATACCTTTTTTGAGGTAACAAATTTGATATGCTCCTTTTAGTGCAGATAAAAGTACGTTTGTGGCTCTGATTAGATGTAATAAAAAATGTGAAGAGAAAAGACATGGACAGTATGATTATATTATATAGCAGTGATATTCATGAATGGGAAGTAATCCTTCAGCCGTGGTATTTGAAATCATGTATGGCGTGTCAAATGTACATTGTTACCAGAATACATGCATTGAAAGTTTTTGTTATATAGGAGTGTTTATATACATATATATATATATATATATGATGATGCCAATCGTAGAATACCTTTTGTTTCAACATTCTTTTGCTTGGAGAAAAATCTTAATTGCAGATAATTATGTGTGTGTGTGTGAAAGATTATGTTTATTAAAAAACTGTCTGCACTGTCGATTTGAAAGTCTGTAGATGTGAATCTAGTGGCATTTTGTGTTTTTGGCAGTTTATTATCAGTATTAGATGCTTTGGAAATATTGTATCGGTTTTATTCTAATCTGTGAATGAACAGTGCAGTCCCATTGTTTACTGTCATGTCATGCGTAAACATTGTTTTCCCTAGGAACTGGCTGTCTAGTCCTTTGTATTGTAATTTCACAGGGTTGGGTAAGTCTCAACATAGAACCTTTTTGTATATAGTTTTTGACAGTTATACTGAGATTAAAGTCATGTTTTTCAATTGGTTGCTTTTTTAGAAACCGCTTTCATGATAATGCATCTGCTGTCCTGAGATTAAAAACCATATAGATTATATTTTTAAGTTCATTGCTTTTTCGAGGTTAACATTAATTCTTTCCTGAGAATGCTACAAATTTACTCAGTAGTTTGGTAGTTATTGTTGTCTAGATGTGGGAGAAAGATTTAATATATATGTGAAGTAGAGTGACTCCAAATATTTATTTTTTATTTCAAATTTCTTGAAAGTCAGCTTTGTCCAATTCAGTGATGGGACAATTGCTCCAGTATGCCTTTGCATTATGCTTAGTTTGTGCTAGCTCTATTTATATGAAAATATTGTGAATTTATTTTTCTTTTGTTAAAAGAAAAGTTCTGTTAGAGCTTGGTTAGTATTGTGCACTTTTGTTTTAAATAATCTTATCAGCTCTCATCATAGCACTGGTTGCATCAGATTATAGATACTATTTGACCAGGGAGTTGCATGTTGTGTTACATGTGAATGTTCTGGAGTGTTTTAATTTTTTTTACCTCTGCTTCACTTAAACCTTTACCTCAGGGGATGATGAAGGAAAGTCATGCAGTAGAAAGTACTTTCAATACCGTTGTGGACACTTGTACACATATTAAGAAAGATGGTGTCTTCTGCCATGCTCCCCGTCATTTATAATCGTAGTTTTGCCGGAGAAAGGGTTCGGACAAATTGGGCATTCATAAACAATTTTAAACCATAAATGACGTTTTATGTAGCTAATGTAATATTTGGTCTTCAAATCAGAAGCGTATCATTTATGGTTTCTTTCATTTTGTCGTACTTTTATTTTTCTTTGCAATGTGGGAGCAATAATGCTTTCATTTTTTTGTAGAATTGTCTGTTTTGTTATATTTGAAGGTGTACAATTAATGCTTTTTTTGTGTGCGTTTGTTCAGAATGCTCACACAACTGAAAATGTTTACAATTATCACGCAAGAATCAATGCAGCCTGCTGAAGAATCACATACTGTGGAGACAGCAATCTTTTTCTTTCTTTTCTTATTTTCACTTGACTTTTGCTTTTGTTTTGTCAGCACATTCTTCTTATCATCGCTGGACACATTTTCATTTTTTTTAATGTGAAAGATATACTCAATTCATTTTTTCGATTTGTTCTTGGTTCCTTATTCATTTTTTTTTTTAATGCTCATTATTAAGTGTTGTTAGGATGAGACCATGGCTTTCACTTAATGTATTTGGTTTTTCTCATTTCTTGAAAAATCATGGAGAACGAAGAGCCTAATCCTAATTCAGGATTCTTCTCTTTGTCTTAACATGTGGCGGGAGAATGTTTATCTCAAGAAACTAAGCTGTGGCTGAGTTTAATATTATAATTTCTTCTAAAAGTAAAGTGTGTAAGTGGATACTAGTCATTGTTTTTCTTTCTTAAGTTAACATTATCGTTCTCAAGTTAAAACTATAGTATGATGGGTTTTTTATGTTCTCATATATATTCTGTTCCTGAGCTCCCTGGCATTTTCTTCAATAACTCTCTTCTCAGACTCTTTAATCTCAACATTATGTGCACTCACAATTGCCATTCTTCCATTCTTTGGCTCAGATCGTGAAGGTACACATAGATTTCTGCTCTTCACCAGTGGATAGAAATTTCTCTTAAGGCCTGCTCCCGTCATGTATGTGCGGCTGTTTTTGTTCCACTTTTTTTCTGTATATGTGTTAGATTTTTTTTTCGGACTCAATTTACGCTGTTTGTTTGTTTTTTTTCTTTACTCTATAAAACAAAATGTTATTGGGATCCGCTGTTTTGATTCCTTGGAAATGCATTTTGCATCAATTAAATTGTAGCATTATTATGCCAAAAAAGAGTTTGATTCTATAATAATTCTATTCGGAATGAATGTTACAAGTGTCACTTTTGTGCTTGTAACTTCTTATAAGATATAGTTCCTCCCTTATAAAACCGAGGTCTGCTCTTGATGAATGTCTGATACGGGTATATCTAGTGCTGTGTATAACAATAGGTAGTAGGAGAGTGTGTATGAAGACACATTTTTCTTATGACCTTTTCTTTGTTGGAAAGTTATATCTATTTTTTGTTTACTCTCCTCTTACCGCTGGTGTTTTTTTTCTTTTTTTTTTTTGTGTGTGTGTTTGTTGTTTTTTTTAATTATTGATTTTTTAAAAAGCAAAAGACAGCATCTTGAACCATTTTAGACATTACCATAAATCTGAGTCTGTTGGGTTCTCATAGTGTATTATGATGATAAAAATGTAATGTAAATACTGTACGGTACTTTGTGCACGGATTTTTACTGTTATTGCCTTCCATTACATCATCTGTGTTTTACCGGATCATCTTTCATCACCTTTAACCTTTTTATCTGGACATTGTTGGTCTCACCCTCATATATTGTTCTTCACGTGCATTGTACATGGACTACCAGTCTGGGGCATTTCTTCAATAAACATTTTGAAGTGTATACAATCGTTTCTCTATAATTATTTATAGATATCTGATTAAATTATTTTATTTCGTATACGTTTGCAGTAGAGTTGTCTCTGTTTATTTTAACGAGGGGATGGGGAATATACAGTATACAGTCTTCAATTCTATTTTATTTCGTTTCTTATGCAGGGTTAGCTGAGCTTTACATTTTTAACAGAGGAGAGGGGGAATAAAAAGACTTGACCCCCAGTAGGACGTGCAAAAGGACTCGTTTGTTTAATGAATTCTATGGTTAATGGGAAGCAGAGGTTTATTGTATCCTAGCACCCCCCCCCCCCCCCCCAGAAAGAAAAAAAAGATTTTTAAAAAGCACATATACAGACCTCAACCTAAGCTAAGGACCACTTGCAAACACTCCTAGTTGTCTTCTTGGGTCGACCTGCAAGTGGGCGTTCTTGGACTGACCCAGTGGCTTGATGGAGCTGCCTCAGGCGGACAATGACAGAGTGTGATACTGCAAGCCTTCTGGCAACTTCTCGGGCTCCAACTCCATCCGGCAGCCATGCCATAGCTCTGGCACGATCAAAGTGTCTCAGCCTTCGTCATGGTCGCACGTTGATGCGATACTGGATTTTGCGCAAACGGCGGCTTATATTGCCACCAAAGTGAGCACAGTTCGAGACCGTACGTCAGTGTATGGTCTGGTTTAGTTTGCTCCTTCTTTCAACTTAACATCTGTCAGGGAGCTCTCGTGGCCTAGAGGTTAAGGTGTCTGCTCTATAACAATGTTCTGTTTTCTGCTTTCGTCTACATTTTCTGTCCCCACCCCTCACCCCCTTTGCCTCCTCCTGTGGGCTCCTGACTCGTTCTGCAGTCTTTCTACTACTACTCTTTGGCTCCTTGTTACTGTTGTCTTTCAGCCACACTCCTGATCTCATGGTAGGAATACGGAAAGATCTACACCTAGCCTTCTCGGACAAGGGCGAAAAATCTCGGAAGCCCCGTGTGCAGGTTGCGCACGGGGGCTCTCGTGGCCTAGATGTTAAGATGTTGGCCTCTCATTCAAAGGTCCCTGGTTCGAATCCGGGTAGCGACCGAAAATGTTTCTTCTCTAAAATTGTCTCCTTTCACCCCCTTTCCTGTTCTGTGGTACGCTTTCGTCTCCTCTTTCTACCACCACTCCCTCGCCTCCTTTGCCCCCTCCTCTGGGCTCCTGACGCTTTCTGCAGCCTTTCTACTGACCTTACGCAGTTGCGAGCGCCGTAAAACATTTACCCTCCCCAAAAAAGGTTGCGCATGTTAAAGATCCCTTGGTGGTCCAAAATCGATAAGGGTAGGCTGCAGCCGCCACCCGGACAAAATTCAAAATTTCCCCCCAACTGAAAATGTTTAGGCCAATGTTGAATGTGTCCCATGCGCTCATATTAGCTTATGCAGTTGCGAGCGCGGTAAAA